GGTGGAGATTGCAGTGAGCCCAGATCACGCCACTGTACTCCAGCCTGGGCAACAGAGTAAGACCCTATCTCAAAAAATAAAATAGGAAAGGAGGAGAGCCACTCTCTTGTTCATCTGCTGAATCAGTTTGCTAAGACTTGAAAGGGCGGGAGTGGTTTGGGCCCTGGGCTTCATGGCAGGGAGGGGTAGGGAGTGGCCTCTCTCTTGTCAGGCGTCTGATCCCCCATGCCAGAGAAGGACATGTGATTGCACTTGCTGTGTGATTGTGATCCACCGCATGTCTCAAAGCTTGGCTTTTATGAATAGGGTGACCATATTATTTATTGTCTACACTAAGGTACTCTTGCCAGTCAGGAGTGCTAATAATTATTACTCTGGGACTGTAGGCAAACTAGGACCATCCCAGATAAATGAGACCACAGTGTCACCCTACTTATAAACAACCTCACCCGACTCAGTGTAGACGTTACCTGCTTACCTCCTGGCCGTGGCTTGGGGTGGAACCATCTGTCTTGCTCCATCCTCACCTCTGTCTCTCCCGCTTAATAGCTCTCCTTGCCATCAGCTGAGGCAGCACACAGGAGTGGTTTAGGGCTAGGCTTCGGAGCCACACACTCTTGGATTTAACCCTGGCACCGTCACTTAGAATCTGTGTGCAATTGCTTAATCCCTGCAAAATCTCATCTTCCTCATGGGGTGGCAGCCACTGGCAGGACTAGAAATTAGATCTATAAAGTATGGGGCACCTGGTAGGTCCTCAAACTCCTTGGCTCAAGCGATCCTCCCACCTTGGCCTCCCAAAGTGCTAGCATGAGCCACCACACTTGGCCCACCTAATAGGTCCCCAACCAAGGGCAGTGACTACTTTTGAGAGCCCCAAGCATCTTCAGCCTGACCCTGCCTTTCATTTTCAGCCCAAATTGCAAGTATGTAGATTCAGCCTTTGTTCAGATACTATCTTCACTGGAGAGCATTCCTGTCTTTGGGAGCCAGGCTGTTGATGGTTGGGGGCTGGGGGTCTCAGGGCTGCAGCTGGAGGTGGGTGATATTCATTCCTGCATAGCCTCCTGAACCGATCCAGTGCTTGGTCCGCTTGGGCCTGCCTTAATGATCCATATCGGCCCCTAACATCCTCCTTGGTTTTGAGGTCCCCTTGGAGCCTCAAGCTCCAGTGTGGCTGTGTGTGTTATTCATGTCCTAGCCCTCATAAGCCATACAGAGCAGTTGTGTTTGGATTCGCAGTTGGGCCTCTCTGCCGAAAACTGTGACAATGGGATTGACCGTAGGCCCACTTGCCTCCCAGCCATTCTCAACTGGCCACAGCTGCTTCTAAGCAGCCTCCCTCCCAACTGTGTTCACGCTCCTTATGGTCGGGTTCAGAGTCTCTTTGACTTCCGATGCTTATGCCCCGATAAACCCATCACAAAGTCGAAGAATCCTAAGTCGAATCATCACCAGTCAGGGGGCTGTCTGTGCTTTGGTGTTTTCAGGTAGGCCCAGCATCTCTCATCTTCCTCCAACTACCTTCTGTTTTCTCGTCCTTTTTAGCTTCTCCAGAATCATGCACCAGACGGTGAAGGAACTATCACCAAAATGTAACGTATCCTTCCTCCTGTCTGAGGATGGCAGCGGCAAGGGAGCCGCCCTCATCACGGCCGTGGGCGTGCGGTTACGCACAGAGGCAAGCAGCTAAGAGCCCGGGATCCCCAGCCTGCTGCCTCTCCAGCACTTCTCTCTTCGAGCGGCGACCCCCTACCCTTCCAGCCAGTTGTGCTGGGAGACGCCGGCGCCGGGGCCCGCCGGCGCGGGGAGGAAAGCAAAATCCAACTAATGGTGTATATTGTAGGGTACAGAATAGAGCGTGTGCTGTTGATAATATCTCTCACCCGGATCCCTCCTCACCTGCCCTGCCACTCTGCATGGTTTGATTTCGACCTGGTCCCCCACGTGTGAAGTGTAGTGGCATCCATTTCTAACGTATGCATTCATCCAACAGAGTTATTTATTGACTGGAGATGGAAAGTCACACCACCTGATGGGCCTTCTGGGCCTCCAAAGCCCATCCTTGGGGTTCCCCCTCCCCGTGTGAAATGTATTATCACCAGCAGACACTGCCAGGCCTCCCTCCTGGGGGCACTGCCTGAAGGCGAGTGTGGGCATAGCATTAGCTGCTTCCTCCCCTCCTGGCACCTATATGGCCTGGCATCGCATCGTGGTGTGTCAATGCCACAAAATCGTGTGTCCGTGGAACCAGTCCTAGCCACGTGTGACAGTCTCGCATTCTGTTTGTCTCGTGGGGGGAGGTGGACAGTCCTGCGGAAATGTGTCTTGTCTCCATTTGGGTAAAAGGAACCAACCAACAAACAATGCCATCACTGGAATTTCCCACCGCTTTGTGAGCCATGTCGTATGACCTAGTAAACTTTGTACCGATTCAAAGACCCGAGTGATGCTTAATGGCTGGGGGCGGGGGGACAGGCGGAGGGGGGCGCGGTTTCTTGGGATGTGGCAAAGACCAAACACTGGGGGAGTTTTGTGGCCCTCTGGGTGTGCTGTCACCCAGACTGGAGTGCAATGGCACAATCTCAGCTCACTGCAACCTCTGCCTCCCAAGTTCAAGCGATTCCCTTGCCTCAGCCTCCTGAGTAGTTGGGACTACAGGCGCTCATCCCTACATCCGGCTAATTTTTGTATTTTTAGTAGAGATGGGGTTTTCACCATGTTGGCCAGACTGGTCTCGAACTCCACACCTAAGTGATCTGCCTGCCTCGACCTCCTAAAGTGCTGGGATTACAGAACAAGGCCACTTGACTTCCAGGCTGCTTGGGTTCAGTGAGAGGACCACAACACTGGTCCCCTCTCTGCCATCCCCACACGGATCCTGCCCTTCATCTTCCTCTCTGCCAACCCCAAGACAAAGGATGAAGTGTGCCCTGCCCCACCCCTCTCCGCCCCCTCCACCCAAACACAGATGAAATCTTAAAGCAGCCCAGGGTGGCTGCACTCTCCCACTCCTGGATCTTTTTTCTTTATTTTTATTTTCTGTAGACACGGTCTCACTATGTTGCCAGGGCTGGTCTGCAACTCCTGAGCTCAAGCAATCTGCCCGCCTCAGCCTCCCACAGTGCGAGGATTATAGGCATGAGCCATCACTCCCAGCCCATCCCTCCTGGATCTTAGACTGACCCCATCCCTAGGAAACTAACCCTTGTCTGACCCTTTTACTCGCCGTCTCCACCCCCACCTCAAGAGATTCCCGGTCCATCCCCAGGCTACCATTTTGGATTCTCCCCCAGCCTTTGGGTTCCGTGTCACTGCACCCAAGCACCCTGTGATGTCCCAAGCCACAGTTGCGGCTCTAAGTGGCTTTCCACAGGACTGATTGCCAAACCACCTGGTTTGGTGAGATCAGATTCCCTTTATTAGGGGCATGGTGCTGGTGTCTATGGAGCAGGGATTTTTTGGAGAACACAGGTAGCATTACACCTTCCAGTGTGCATTGACAATGTTACATGGTTCTTCTGCAGGGGAACCAGGGCGTGGAGGCTGAGTTGGCAAGCAGGAGGAGGTGTGCCCTTGGGATGGGCTGGGCCAGACCTGGAGCTTTCTGGGAGTTGAGACAGTTGCTGCTTTCTGCCCTCCAGCTTCTTGCTGCAGAAGTGGGAGTGGGTGGGAGCTGTGCTGCTGCTTTGTAGGTGGCTTTTGTATAAAATAGTTAAGAGTCATGGCTAACAGCCAGGTGTGGTGGTTCACATCTGTAATCCCACCACTTCAGGAGACAGGCAGGAGGAATGATTGAGCCCAGGAGTTCAAGACCAGCCTGGGTAACATAGCAAGACCCCATAGCTACAAAAAGCTTAAAAATTAGCTGGGTGTGGTGGTGTGTACCTGTGGTCCCAGCTACATGGGAGACTGAGGCGGGAGGATCCCCTGAGCCCAGGAGGTTGAGGCTGCAGTGAGCCGTGATGGTGCCACTGCACTCCTGCCTGGGTCTCACAGAGACCCTGTCTCAAAAAAAAAAAAGTCCTGGCTACCATGTATTGGCCACTTAATCTGGCCTGGCCTGCTAGCTTATAGGCATGACTCCCATTGTTCCTCACAGCATCCCTGTGAAGTAGTGATGATACTGGGCAGAGGTCACAGTGACTTGCCTGAGGGGAGACAGCTGACTTTTTTGACTCTTAACCACCATCTACCTGGGCTGTATCTTACATCTTAAATACTGAGACAGAGAAGCCGTCGGCTGACTCAGTCACTGGGCTTCGTGAAATAAGAAGTTTCCTCCTTTGTATCCGCATCCTGATGGTGAGTCAGTGTCATGGTTGCATTGCCCACGGATATGTTTTGTTTAGCTTATGCAAAGTTTACAAAAATGTGGGTCAAATTCAACAAATCTGGAAGACTCACATACAAATGTGGATTTATAGCTTCTCTTGAAAGATTTAGGAATATCTAGCAACAGTGGGCTCCCGTTACCATGTGGCAACGCTTGTCCAGAGCTGAGTAGTTCCTGTCCCCTTTGAATGCCTATCCTCTCCAGGTTGCCATGGCCCCCACCACTCCCTAATAGCTCAAACTGAGGCTGGAAGTCAGTTGCCTTTTATCATCACATTTGCAGCTTTTTTTTAATACATATTCTTGTGTGCCCCAGGAAGGCATTTGAGCTTGCATCTCCTAGATTAGATAAATATCAGCTCACACTGCCTTTTCTGACCCTTACTGGATTCCCTGAAGTGCTCTCTGAGATGGGTGGCTGAGTCCTCTTAGAGTCAGCATCCTTTCTGGAGTTCTGGCCCCATGTTGTCTTTGCATTGGTGTACTGAAAGATGGGCATGAGCTGAACTTTCAGATCGGTCTTCTCGATTGGCTACTTCTCAAAGGGTGCTACCCCTTGTTCCGCAGCCAGACACAAGGCTTCAGGGTTCAGCAGGCACCTGTCTTAGTCCATTTGTGTTGCTTTCATGGAATACCCGAGACTAGATGGAATACCCGAGACTAGGTAATTTATAAAGAAAAGAGGTTTATTTGGCTCATGATTCTGGTGGCTGGAATATCCAAGATTGGGCAGCTGCATCTGGTGAAGGCCTGAGGCTGCTTCTAGTCATGGTGGAAAGTAGAAGGGAATTGGTTTTGTGCAAAGAGATCACATGGTGAGAGAGGAAGCAAGACAGGGAAACTGAGGACACCAGACTCTTTCTAACAACTTGTTATCTTGGGAACTAGTCCATTCCCACAAGAGTGAGGATTAACTCCAGCTGGAGGGCATTAATCTATTCATAAGAGATCCATCCCCAAGACCCAAACACCTCCCACTAGCCCCTACCTCCCAACACTGCCACATTGGGATCAAATTTCAACATAAGTTTTGGTGGGGACAAGCAAACCATACTCAAACCATAGCCCTGATCCATCCTGGGGACGCCCTGCCTCCCCACAGGTAGCCTCAGTGGGGGCTGCATCCCCAGCCATGAACAAAGTCTCCTTAGTGTGACACCTGTTGACTCTCGTGGAGAGGGAGGGCGTGGGAGTCAGCTCGAGCTTATCTTCCTCGGTGGGTGTGAGCCACGGGCAGCAGCGGAAGGCAAGCCGGAATCCAGAGCGAAACCTTGGGGAGCAAGGGGCACCTTGAGCCAGGGAGTTAGGGGCACAGGAGCTGTGATGTGACTGCCCCACCCCTAGGAAACTGAGTTCCTTCCAGGGGAAAGTCACTGTCTCTCTCCAAGAGCCTCCCACGGCTCAGGCGCTCTTGAGAGATGCCTTTGTGGGTGAGTTTGATTTTTGGAAACTGCCAGAGTGTTCTGGAGTGGGGTCTAGTGAATGAAGTGGGTGACTAAGCTGATTTAGGTCATCTGTTATTGCAAACAAACAAAAAAACACCCCAGCATAATTACTAAAAAACCCCACACAAAACCAGCAGATATTCTTGTTTGACTTGTTAACTGGCTTCTAAGGGAGGAGTCAGAGAAGAACCTGCTAAAACACAATGGAAGCTTTGGCAACTTGGGAGAACAAGGATGCTTTTCCCAAGGGGACTGCATTGAAAAACCCACACTTGGAGCCACCAAGTTCTGGTGCATTTGCCTGAAAACAAATAGCTCTCCCCATGGCAGCCCTGAATGGGAGTTTAGAGCAAGCACACACAGTGAGTGGAAGAAATCAGACAGCAGAAATGGAACGCCGGCCGCTCAGAGAGGGGAATGATCCAGAAGTGATGTCAGGATCTTGTAGAGCCTGGGGTGGTGTTCAGACTCCCGGGGACTGTATCTCCCTTGGGTAGCAGGAGAGTGATGAACCCACAGAGACTGGGCTGGTGGCCCCTCCCTGATGTCGAGTCCCTGTCTCCAGGTTTTCAATCCCACAAGTCTTTAAAAGAGAAATGCGTGGTGTGGGGATAAGATGACAGGCCTTGGAGACATATGGAGTCCTGGCTTTACTGTTTGTTGTATGAGTTTGGGAGCATCTTCCTTTCTGAAGCTCATTTCCTCATCTGTAGAGTGGGGATGACACCTGCTTCTCTCCTATGATCTACTTCCCTCTCAGAAGATAGAGAACGCTTCAGTAAGCATGCAAAAAATCATAGCTCCTTACTTCCTTTTGGCTTGCCCCAGGCGGGTGAAATGTCTGAGCAACAAAGATCCTAATGGCATTATGAGTAGCCTGGCTACCTGGCCAGGGAGATGACAAAAAACACGAACAAAGAGGTCTGAGGCCAACTTCGCCCACATCATTATCTCACTGAGGTGAGACTGTGTCCACCTCTCACTGCCCCTTGTCCCACCTTCAGGGTTTTCTGCAGCTGAAAGGCCTGCTCTGCAGGACTCCTGGGGCTGAGTTCCTGCCTGGCTCCTCACCCCCCACCTCTCCAGGTGCCCCAGAGCTAGCGCAGGCCCCTCTCTGGGACTCATTTCCTCAGAATCACAAGGGCTAGGGAAACCGGATGATGCCAGGAGAGAGAGATTCTGGCGCTCTCCATCCTGGCTGTCTCTGCCAAGGTCACTTCTCAGCTGCCCTGAAAGCCCCTGGAGGACAAGGCATGCACTGTGACCTTTCCAGGGAGCAGCCTGTGCCACCCCTGTGCTGGCTCCAGCCCCCATCCCTGCTTCCACTGCCAGATGGGTACCGCTCACTTGGCTCCAGGAAAGCCCTCAGTAGGAAGCTCATGAAAATACTAGAACAGAAGTCAGTCCCTCCCTCCCGCTACTTGGCTCTTCTTTCCGCCGTCTGTCTGTCCCGCCCCCTCTCTCTGATGCTCCCCTTCCCTCCATCTCTCTGGTCCGTCCTTCTCTCTTCTCCTTACCCCACACACAGAACCCAGAAGAGCCAGCAGTAACAGACAGACAGAGCTACAGCCTGGGAGACAGGGTGAGGCTTTGGGGAGGATGGGGGCTCAAGCTAGGCCCAGGCCAAAGGGAGGATTATGCTGGGGGCTGAGTGTGAGGACGGCTTTCTCATGTAAGCTGGGGGAACAGGGCCACAGGCTCCAGCAGGAAGGAGGGTGGATGCCTGAGCTGTGCAGGGGAGCCCAGCTGGGGCCGGGCAGTGGAGCTCTGAGGGCAGAGGGTGGGGTTGGAGTGGGGGCTCACCTGTGGTTGAGGCAGCAGTAGATGATGGGATTGTACATGGTAGAGCTCATGGCCAACCAGAAGAGTGCCAGGTAGACCTGCTGGATGAACTTGTGGCAGTAGATGTCCTCTTGGAAGCTGCCCAGGATGAAGTAGAGGTGGTAGGGCAGCCAGCAGATGGCAAACGTCACCACCACCAGCACCATGGTCTTCACAAACTGGTCCAGGAGAGGCTCAAGTTACTTCTCAGTGCCCAAGTCCCAGCCCCAGCCCTCCAAGGGCAGACGTAAAGCACCCCTTGAGCCCGCCTGGGAATCGCTCCACACTCAGACCCCATTAGCTCTATTACTCAGGCCCCTGAGCGTGTCGCCCAGACCTTCCTGAACCCCCAACCTCAGGGACCTTTGCTCAGGCCGGTCCCTCTGCTCACACTGCTATCCTTCCTTTGAAGTCCTCACTCCTTGAAGCCCAGCTCAATGGCCACTTCCTACAAGAGGTGTCTAGGACCCCTTGATTCGCTGCAGCTCCCCCTCCCTGGAGAGTGGCTGAGCTCTCTCTCCTAACCCCATCCCTAGGGGAGCCCCCGTGTCAGCTATGCGTTCCCAGGTCGCCCCCTCTCTGGGATCTGTATTGGCACAGCCCTTCTCTCTGTGGGCTGTGAGGTTCTAACTAGGGACCCCTGCCTCTGCCCACGGGTCAGCTCCCGGACCTCCCCCTCCTCAGAACCTGGCCCTTGCAGGCACACTCCTGCACTGCTCGGCAGCCTGCATGTCAATTACAAAAGGTCTGGGGGTTCCTGGGCACCCTGATCCTCACGTAGGATCTCGGCTGAGACCCTGAGGGTGGAGCAGATGGAGGCCAGTGCTCCTTGAGGGGCACCAGATGGCGCCCATGTGCAGCTACCTCCCCAAACCACCTGTGAAAGACGCCTACTATTGAGTGAGAAGCCGTGGCTTTGACCTGGCTACATGATGTGGTTAACCCATTACCTCCCCTGTTGCCTGGCAGGAAGGGGGCAAGGACAAGCTTGGACTGGAAGAGGGTGAAGGGCGTCTGGGACACAGAGGGCTACATCAGGATCTTCGGGGGGGCCTTGGATGGCAGAGAGTAGGGGGACACTGGCACTTCCGGAAGAAACTGGAGACAGATTTGATGAAGCTGGACAACAATCTGGTCTCCACGACTTCTGAGGTCCGCGGTTCCAGCCTTTCAGGGCTCTCCTGTGACAGTCTAGGCACCTTCTATAGTTCTGTGGGGTTTCTCAAATTCAACATTCTGATTATTCAGTCTAAGATTTTAATATTTTATCATTCTAAGATTCTTGGGGGTATCTGAATTCTATGGGGCTTTAGGAGTCCCTAACTCCCCTAACATTCTGGGAAGTTTCTTTAATTTTGTGTGTGGCCAAACACCAAAGGGAAATCTGCCCGCCTGGGAGGAACTCGGTCAGGCTCTGGCCCCAGGCTTCGCGCAAAGGCAGCTTCCGCAAGCTTCTCCCGGGCGCCCTCTTGCGGACCGGCCAGGACCAGCTCCCCCCCCCCCGCCAGGCCCCGTCCCCGCTCCCACCTTCTTCTTGGCCTGCAGGTGGCGCAAGTTGGCACCGTGGGTCTGCTGTCCGGGCACTGCGCGCCTCCAGAGCGTGAGGCCGATGACGCTGTAGGCGACGAACATCACCGCGAGCGGCAGGAAGTAGATGAGGGCGATCACCACGAGGTGGTACCTGCAGGGAGAGCCGGGGGCCTCGGCAGCGGGCGGCCCGGGGACGACGCCGAAGTCGGCCAGTGCCTGGTCCTGGGACCCCGCGGGCACTGTGGAGCCGCCCCTCCGGACCCACCCTGAGCGCCTTCCAGGGACTTGGTTTGATTTAAACAAAAATAAAGGGGACACTGGGTATCCTGTGTGCCAGGAGACGGCTTCCCCTGCAAAAGGGATGCCAGCAGTAGCCCTACGTCCTTCCACGTGATAGACACGTGTCAAAAAAAGGAAAAATGAGCGAAACAAATTAAAAAGTAACTTGTTTACAATTTAAAATACCATTAAGCACAAAGGAGGCAGTAAAATTATCCCACTCCCACCACTATTAACATTAACCATTAATATCTGGCATATTTTTTCAAGAATCATATGTATGAATAGTAGTCACCCCTGATGAGAGTTTCACTTTCCCGGGTTTCAGTTACCCCTCTCAACTGCGGATCCGAAATAGGGATGGACAGTACCACGAGATATTTTGAGAGGGAGAGACCTCATTCACAGAAGTTTAATTACAGTATATTGTTATACTTGTTCTGTTTTATTAATAGTTATTGTTAATCTCTTACTGTGCCTAATTTATAAATTAAACTTTATCATAGATATGTTGAGAAAAAAAAACATAGTATTCATATATAGAGAGATAATTCAGTACTATCTGAAGTTTCAAGCATCCTCTGGGGGTCTTGGAGTATATCCTACAGTATAGCCATATATGTATATGTATGTGTATGTGTATATGTATTTGTATGTGTACGTGTGTATGTATATGTGTGTGTGTATGTGTATATATATGTGTATGTGTATATATATATAATCTGTATCTGTCTGGATGGATAGAATGACTGGTGTTAATAAGACTCCATCTGTACCAACATCGCTGTGGGGGAATGGGACAGTGGAAAAGCGCCGTATATCACATGCTGCTGTGTCATCTGCTTACGGTCATCAGCATTTGGCTGGGAACCTGTTTGTGTCAGCAAATGCCTTTTCATACCATCTTTGAGGAAGTGGTACAGAGTACCACTGCATGGCTTCCTACTCTGTCCCCAGGGAGGACAGTAGGTTGTGTTGAGGCTTTTCATTTCCTTTTGGGAACAGTGTAGGCCAGGCGTGGTGGCTCATGCCTGTAATCCCCAAACTTTGGGAGACCAGGATGGGAAGATTGCTTGAGACCAGGAATTTGAGACCAGCTTTGGCAAGATAGTGAGACCCTATCTCTATAAAAAATTTTTAAAAATTAGCCAGGCGTAGTGGGGCACATCTGTAATTCCAGCTACTCGGGAGGCTGAGGCAACAGGTTCACTTGAGCCCAGGAGATCGAGGCTGCAGTGAGCTATGATTGGACCACTGTACCCTAGCCTGGGCAATAGAATGAGACCCTGTTGGAAAAGAAAAAAAGACAATGTCCCCAGTCCTTAGATCTCTGGTTTATGACGCTGCAACCTCTCTCTGATGAGCTGCAGACTGGGGACTGACTCCCAGGCAGGTCTGCAGTGGGAGCCTGTGGAGACAAAAGTGACTCCATCTTGGGTGCCCTCCCCCGTGTTGACTTCTGATGCCCTCCAGTCTTGTGAATGCCTTCTGATTTCTACTTTACTGTTCCTAGTGAAATAACTTGTCAACCTTGATGTTACTCCACAAATCGTGGGCTGTGACGCACATAGCGTTCTTGCCTGTTCTGGAGGGCTGCCTTTCGTTGTCTTGCTGGAGCACGAATACCCTTTCCCTATGGTATCTAAGCGTTGCGTCTGGGGAGTGAGAATGCCAAGCTCCACCTGTCTTGTGGCCATCCAAGATCCTGCTTCTGTCTGTAAATTCCCTCAATAAATCACCCAATACTAACAAACTGGATTTGTTCTGCCTCCTTCTTTGGGTCTCAGCTCCTTTGGCATTCGGGGATCCCTTTCATGGAACAGAGTCCTTGGAACATTCCACCAAAGGGGCCTGAGACCCCTGGTCCTGTCATATGACTTTTTCTTTCTTACTGGGAGGACTGAGGTGTTCCCAAACCTCCTGCATCTACCTGCCACATGCTGGCCTTGCTGGGCCCCTTTCTAGAGGTGCTGCCACCCCAAGGGAAGGGGACCCATGGTGAAACCACCTTTGTAAAATTATAACGGAAGAAATTATGACAGTGAAAGAAATCAGACCTAACCGACTCTGTCTTGCTTCTAACCCTTAAGCTGTCCTTGTTCATGCCTGGGCGTAGGCTGAACTATCTTTGGGAAGGAATTCAGTTCATAATTTTACTCTGAAACAAAATTGACAACAGCCCTTTCCCGAAAAGACCCCCTACTTGCCTGGGGTCCAATCTGCCTTTCCAGCACTAACAAATTAGCTACAAGAATAGAAATTAATTTAGGGGTCATGCAGCCTCCAGCTCCAAGAGTTTGAACCTCCCCAAATTCCTGGGAGTAACATCACTATAGTAAAACCTAAGATGAGTGCTTGAGATATTTTCCAGACCCTGCACTCGTGGATCAGCTGACACCACCCAGGCCAGCAATCTGACTCAACCAGTTCTGCAATCACACCCAGGAACAGAAGACAGCAAGAAAACCTCATTTCGACACCATATGATTCCATCTCCAACCCGACCAATCAGCATTCTCCATTTGCCAATCCCCTACCTGCCAAATTATCTTTAAAAACTCTGATTCCTGAATGCCAAGGGAGACTGATTTGATTTTGTTTTTGTTTTTGTTTGAGATGGAGTTTTGCTCTTGTTGCCCAGGTTGGAGTGCAGTGGCGGGGTCTGGGCTCACCACAACCTCCACCTCCCAGGTTCAAGTGATCCTCCTGCCTCAGCCTCCCAAGTAGCTGAGATTAAAGGTGCCTGCCACCACGCCCTGCTAATTTTTGTATTTTTAGTAGAGACAGGGTTTCTCCATGTTGGCCAGGCTAGTCTGGAACTCCTGACCACTGCCTTGGTCTCCCAAAGTGCTGGGATTACAGGCGTGAGCCACCGCACCTGGCCTAATTTGAGTAAATTAAACTCTGGTCTCCTGCACAGCCGGCTCTGCATGATTACTCTTTCTCCACTGCAATTCCCCTGTCTTGATAAATCAGTTCTGTCTAGGCAGCAGGCAAGGTGAACCCATTGGGTGATTATAAAGGCTCCAGTCAATCTCTCTCCTAAAGTCTTGTGTTTAGAATTCTGCTTGGGTTCTTGTGCAAACATGCCAATTGCAAGAGGTTCAGGCACTCCTAGACTCCCTGATCCTCAAGTAGGCTTTGGGTTGAGAACCCCAGTGTGAAGCAGATAAGAGGGGAGGAAAGGCAATGAAGGCCAGGGCCCGTCACCTTACAGAGTGAAGATCAACAGGGCCCCCTGTCTCGGTGTCCAGATAGGGAAACTGAGGCCCAGAGAGGCACAGGCAGTCTGTGTCATATCAGTCTACAGATTTAATCATGACCCAATTTCCCCTTTTCTGAGGGTCAGCACTGTGGGAGTCAGAACAGGGCTCTTGTCCAGCCTCTTGTTTAAAGCATGATCTTAGGCAAGTCAGGGCTTTCCCTCAGCCTCAGTTTCCCCATCTGTAAAAGGAGGAGGCCATCTCTAAGTCCTTCCTTAGCAGGAGCCACACTCCTCTGTTGCTTGCTCCCAGGATGTTGTGCAGGACAGGAATTCACCCTGGGCTAGGTCTCCATGCAGAAGGCAGAGGGAGAGAGTCCCGGGGACAACCTTTTTTTGTTTGTTTTGTTTTGTTTTGTTTTGAGACAGAGTTTCGCTCTTGTTGCCCAGGCTGGAGTGCAATGGTGTGATCTTGGCTCACTGCAACCTCCGCCTCCCGGATTCAAGCAATTCTCCTGCCTCAGCCTCCCAAGTAGCTGAGGATGGATCACCCGCCATCATGCCCGGCTAATTTTTATATTTTTAATAGAGACAGGGTTTCATCACATTGGCCAGGCTGGTCTTGAACTCCTGACCTCAGGCGATCTGCCCGCCTCGGCCTCCCAAAGGGAGTCTGTTTGTATTTTGATTTTGGGGGTGTGTGCATGTGTTCCCGGAGAGGGCATCTTTAATTTCATCAGATTCCTAATTACACACAGTTACATGAGCCTGTGGGGATGGAGCCCTCATACTAAATCTCTAAATTAGGCTCTCCCCCAAGAAAAACAATAACACATTCTCACACTTAAAACCAGGCTTTCCCCAGATCCTTTCGGAATTTTAAGTAACACCAAAGTATGGCTTTCCTAGCCCGCCCCTGCCTGCCTGTTCTTCCCAGTTGCCAGAATCTGGGTTGGAACTCGCTGTTCCCAGAGAGTTGGCGCGCGCAGTGGTCCTGTATTAAGGTGGAGAAATACCGCCTCCAAGTGGCCGGTGTCAATATGTTCTGCTCTCCACCCTTTCCTGTGAGAGGGTGGGGGTGCAGGGAGAGATCAGAGACCCTGGGCAGTTCCCAGGAACAGCTTCTCAGAGGAACGAGTTCTCAGAGGAACAGCACTTTCCCTAGCCCTGAAACCCACAAAAGCAGCCTTCTCCTGGCAGGTGCTCAGGACAGATGGAGACCAGGCAGGGAGGGTGTTGGAGGAGAGGTGTGTTGCCATGGCTACCTGGCAGCCCTCACCTCAGACCATGCACACCCTCATGCTTGGGGCAGCTGGGACTTTGTGGGAAGGATCTGTCACCTCCAGGTGTGTTTTCATGTGTCCCCTATTTAAACTACCACATGCTGGGTACCAGTTTTGTGCCAGGCATGGTGCTAAGTAAGGGCTTCACGTACACTATCTCACTGACACTCACAAAGTAAGGTACTACTATGAATCCTCATTTTAGAGAGAGAAAGCCAGAGGTTCAGAGGTTATGTGAGTGTGAAGCATCCCCGGGCCAGGCGGGAGCAGGCCACGTTATGGGCCTGACTGACCCCAGAACCCCAGTCAGTTCTTTAGCCTCTACCAAGCAATGACTCAGTGCCTGGGGACCCCAGAGACACAATGTGAGATCCTCAGAAACTGAGGCCAGAATGGAGACAGGACTCACCCAGGGTCACACAGCAGCTGGGCCATACCTGAGTCCCTCTAACCCTGCCCTCCCTGCCTCCAGCCTGTGATGCCCACCTCAGCAGCCTGAAAATGTCCCAGGCTTCATCATGGACGCTTTCTGCCTCAGTCTTCTGCCGCTTTGTGGCCTCAGCATATACAGAGTCTCCCCCAAACACATGCCTACACATGTCCCTAACATGTGCCCGAGTGCACGCACCTCTACAAACATGCCCACACACTTGCATGTGCATACACCAGCAGAAATGGGTGCCGCGTGTGCATGTGACATGTACAGTCACATACACATGTGCATGCGTGCATATCCTTATCTAAGGATGCACGGGTGCATATTTGAGTAGCATAGTGGCGAGGAGATTGGGTCCTGGGCAGGATTGCTTGGATTTGAATCCCTAGCTGGATTTGAATTACTAGCTGTGTGGTTTTGGGTATGTTACTTAGTTTTTCAGTGCCTCAGTTTCTTCATCTAAAAAATTGTAATGATAATAATATAATACATACTCCATATTGTTAGGAGAATTAAATGGGTCAACATCTATAAAGTGCTAAGAACAGATCGGCTACATCGTGTGTGTTGTTTACTAAGCATACAGGTATATTCGCATAATCCCGTGTACACTCACTCATGTGTACACCCATGCACACACACCACACATGCATGGACATGGATGCATGCACGAGCGTGTGCACACACACACGGGCACACGCACACACAGTTGCCCTCCACAATCCCCCAGAGGCCTTACAGGAGGAGCATCTTGCCCCCGCTGTCTTCGGGCCAGGCCACCACGCACTTGGTGGCACCCTGATCCATGGTGATGGTGGAGTAGAAGCACTGTGGGGAGGCCAGGGCGAGAGCCACCAGCCAGATGCCAGCAATAACCGCCTTGGTGCCGGGGGCTGAAAGCCGAGGCTGGAAGGGATGGACGATGGCCATGTACCTGTGAGCAGAGGGCAGCATGAGTGGCAGGGGCCCTCCTGTTAGCCCAGCTTCCTTTCCCCTGTCTCCCTCTCTCCCAACCCAGGCCCACGCCCTCTAGCCCTTCCCTGCACTGCTGCCATCTGTCGATGTCAGAGTCTCAGCTGACCTGCAGAGATTCCGCTGGGCTGGTGACTTTCCCGCAGCCACACAGCACACCGATGCCTCGGAACCCCAGCCCAGGTACCCTAGCCCATCATTTCCCTCTGGGCACAGACATGCCCTTGGACAGCCACAAGAAAAGCCACACTGGAAGCCCATCTCAGGGCAAGACCGAGCATCCAACATTAGCCTGAAGCTCAGCCCTGAGCAGCGTTGGGAAAATAATTGGCCCTATTAAATTGTAATTGCAAGCATTCTCAACATTTTCCCCTTGTGTAATCTATCTGGAATAATAAAAAAACAGTATAAGACATTTCTTTGGAGTGAAAGAGGGACAACAAAACAAAGAACACTTTAGAAGATCGCTAAAACATCGCCCATTTCCCCTACAGACTTGAACAACCCGTCTAGTGCATCTAGTACAAAGTCCTTCTTTGTGTCTAACCCTCAGTCTACCTTCTTCACAGTACCCCCGCCTTCCAGATTCATAGTTTTGGACCATGAACAGATTTGGGAGGCCATTCTCTTGGTTCTACCCAAACATGCTGTGTGACCACAGGTATGTCAACACCCTTGTCTGAGCCCCAGCTCAGTGAGGAGGCTCCCCCCAGCTTCCCCAAGGCCCCTCTTGCCTGTCGGCAGCAATGGCAGTCATGGAATAGATGCTGACAAACATGGCTGTGATGGGGAAGAGGTTCTGGAAGTAGCAGAAGGCACGGCCAAAGTACCAGATGTTGTGGCTGGCATAGACAAAGTTGAAGGTTGCATTGAAGGCAGCCATGCAGAGGTCGGCCAGCGCCAGATTGACAATGAAGTAGTTGGTGACTGTGCGCATCCTCCGGTGGGCCAGGATGATCCAGATGACGATGGCATTGCCCGTCACGGCCACCAGCACCAGGGCCAGGTAGGCTGTGGCCCATAGTGCCAGCTGCCAGCCGGGCATGGAGAAGGCTGTGATGCCCGTGGTGTTGCTCTCAGGGCCAGATGAGATATTGACTTCAGTCACAATGTCACAGGTCCCCATGGCTGCTTCTGGGTCTGGAACAAAGGGCCTGGCTCCTCGGCTCCTCGGCTCCTCCCGGATTTGCTATGGAAGAGAACTCCCCTTCAGAGCCTGGGTATATGGGGGCAAGGGGAGGAGCAGATGCCAAGCATGGTGACACATCAGGAGAGCCTGGGACCACTCCTAGGTCTCAGGCAAAGATGAGTTGCGCTGAGCACAAAGCCCAGTCCAGAACCATTGTTATTTCAGATTCCATCCTGCTGGCCAGACTTCTCGAATATCTCGTAGAAATACAAAATTCAAATCACAGCGTCAGAGCAGAAAACATCCTTATAAGTCAACCCCTTCGCTGAAGAGATGGAAGACAGAGATTCCAAGAGGGGACAGGACCAGCCCAGGTCACTCAGGACGTTGGTGACAAGTTAGGGTTCGAACCCAGGTTTCTCATCACATAATCCAGGAAACCTTCTGGATCAGAGGAATGCACAGCGGGAGTCTCTGGAGTCCACAGGTCAATGGCGCAGCAGCCTCTCTCCAGGCTTTGGGGTGTGAGCCGGGCTGGGGGCTGGGTGCTCAGGGCTCTTCCAGCTGCCAGCCCTCACCGCAGCTTCCCTGCCTTTCTCTGGGGCAGGGCCGGCAGGGGGCCTTGGCAGAGGTACTGCCTGCTCACGAGGTGGGGCTTTGGCTCCCACCCCTGGCCCCACCCCCTGCTTGGCCTGGTCTCTTGAAAGATTTAGGACTAGCTGCCGAGGCAGGGAGAGACCTGGGGCAGATGGGGCTGGCACGGAGGGTCCAGCTCTTGGTGGGTGTTGACTTTCACCCCAGGGCAGGAGCTACGTTTAAAGAGTGATTCTGAACAGAGAAGGAGTTTGAGCCTGGTTTGATGACTCCAGGCAAGTCTCTTAACCTTTCTGAGCTCTGTCTACCCCATCTGAAAAATATAGGGAAAAATGGTGTGCATCTCACGCTACATTTGTGAATTTTAAATGAGATAATATGCACAAAGTCTATTTAGCACAGGGGTTGGTACATAAAAACTATGATTGGAGTTTCTGGCCCAAGGGGAGGACCCCACAGCTCTGGGTGCTCTAGGAGGAGAAGCCAGAACCCGGAGCATTTCCAGTGAGTTCCCAGGTGATACTGATGCTGCTGGAGCCAGCACCTCACTTTGAGAACCACTGTCTTAGGACAAAGTCAGGGCTCTTCCAGGAACCACAGAAAAGCTGGAGTTTTAGTCTCTGAGAAGCTGCTCTAGGTTTGCCCCAAGATACCTGTTCCTGGTCATTGACTGTGTGCACGTGTGTGAAGCTGTGAAGATGTTTCTGAGTGACTGTATGTGCGGCTGACGTGTTAAGCTCACACACACGCATGAACCTGTGCACACCTGTGGTGTGTGGACCATGAAGGCAGGGCAGGCTTAGCGGGAGTGGAGGGGGGCATGCTCTTCATTAAAGCAGGGGAGGCCTCTCATTCACCAGCAAACCCTCGCACAGCAGCCTCTGTGCTCCCAAGGCTCTGCCTTGCACGGCCTGGGTTTCTCGTTGGCTGGGCCTTGGCCCCCACACTCCCAGTCAATTTTTTCTTCTCCCTATGTGTCACTTCCCTGACACCCAGCCCCTTGTCTCCCAGGGTGAGCTGGGAAAGTCCTTTAAAGGCCTCTAGTGCTGAAGAGATTGTGCCACCCATGGAATCCAATATAAAAACAACGCTAAACCATAAGTCATGCAACTTAAACATGCTGACACTGAAAGAGCTTCTTTATGGATTTTTCTGATTGTGAACTTCTGGGTAAGTTCATCACAATCGACACTGAAATTGTATCTATTGTTTGGTGTCCCTGCTGTGCAGATGTGAGGAGCATGTGCTGGGTCGAATGGGAACCCCATCCTTGCCCATGGGGAGGGGGTGCTTCCTGGGCCCCTACCCCTCCCGTGGGTGTGTGCCTGTTTCCTCTCTGGAGCGGCCTGTTTGGACTTTGGATCCTAGCAGAAGGGTCTCCGCCTTTGATCTCTGTTGGTGGCAGCAACAGTAGCAGTACTTTAGGGCTTGCTTCTGTTTCATGCCCATCTGGCTAGGGTCCTAAAGGGCAGAACGTGTAGAAATAAGAATGGAAGTCCAAGATAGCCTGCTCTCTTTGCTGTCCTCCTGCTCCCAGGCAGCCGGGATTTGTGAAGCTTCAGGTGCAAACCCAGTGCAGGGCTGGGATGCCTGAGCGCCTGCCACCAGTCACAGAAGCCCAGCAAAGTTCAAGTTCCTTCCTCCCCACAACATTCCACCACTTTCACTGTGTATATAAAGAGGATTATGTTTTGGAACTTGTACATCTGAGTTTTAATTTCCCCCTTAAATTATCTGCTCTTGCAGCTTTCCAACTATGTGCTATGGTTTGAAGTCTTGTGAAAGGGGAAGATGCGGGCCTCCCAGGATGAAGGGATTCCTGATCAGCTTTGCTGCTTGGCGCTAGCCTTCTGAGTCCATAGCTAGACAGCCATCCCAAAGGTCAGTCCTTATTTTATTTTATTTATTTATTTTTAGATGGAGTCTCGCACTGTCGCCCAGGTTGGAGTGCAATGGCACGATCCTGGCTCACTGTAATCTCTGCCTTCTGGGTTCAAGTGATTCTCCCACCTCAGCCTCCTAAGTAGCTGGGATTACAAGTGCATGCCACTACACCCGGCTAATTTTTGTATTCTTTTAGTAGACATGGGGTTTCACCATGTTGGTCAGGCTGGTTTCAAACTCTTGACCTCAAGTGATCCACCTGCCTCGGCCTCCCACAGTGCTGGGATTACAGGCGTGAACCACTGCGCTTGGAAGGCCAGTCCTTTTAAAAGAGAGAGAGAAAAAATGCCAGGCATGGTGGCTTACGCCTGTAATCCCACACCTGAGCTGATGGTGCCCATTGTGTGTGTCCGGGAAGCAGACCCTGCTGTGTAAGAAACACACCAGCTGTTTCTCAGGGAGCTACCATTTGGGTCAACACTTGGGGCAGATGGGGCAGGAAGCAAGTGTGGCTGAAGCACGGCATCATGCTGTGGTCCAGGCCCACAACAGCCTTGGTAGCCCCATGGATAATTGGAACTGGAACAGCTTCAGAGTTACCCTGTGTGGGGCAAAGTTAACCAGGCCTTTATATTTCCACATTGGTCACTGGACATGGGCCACCCCAAGAAAGCATGTGATTGTTGTCAAGGCAGTTGAGGCGAGGCCTGCAGTGGGGGAAGCTAAACATGGTCCTGGGACTGCATGCCTGTCCAGCAGCTTGAAGGGGGCCTGGGAAGCTCAGGGCAACGTCCACCATAGCTAGACAGCAGCCGCTCCTTCAGACCGGCGTGTGCTGGCAACTGTGCCTTGCTGGTTGGTGTAATTGTGACTTCTGGGCTAGAGGCTTAAAGACCAGAGTCGGGAGAGGAATGATCTTCCAGGGAGTTTGAGGAAGAAAAGGATGGAGAGCTGTGGTGTGTGAGAGAAGTGGGCGGGAGAGGAAAGGGGGCTCCAGGAAGCATTGTGGAGGAGGTGTTGTCATCAGCGCCTGGGGAATGCTCTTGGCAGCGGCCTTTCTTTACCTGGGAGGCTGCTCTGGGCCCTGGCTTCAGTGGTCACAGGTAGCATTGCGGGACACTAGCGCTGAGGGTCACCCTGTCACCAGGGCAATGCCGGGGGTGCCAGGAGGTGGCCGAAGTGAGAGGAGGACATGGGGTTGGCAAAGGGTCAGCCCCTCGGCTGAAAGGCTCCAGTCCTGCGTCCTGTGGTGGGTCTGACCCTGAGCAGCTGCTCCAATGATCGTCCCAGAGACAGGAGGAAGGGCCACATCTGTATTTGCAGGAGCTCCTGGTGGGGCCACATGAGGACAAGAAGAAGAACACTTTTCATTCTGCTAGATGAATCTGGTTCCATGGACCATCCTTCATTCTGAGACCATGCCTTCCTGCTTTTTGAGTTCTTTCATGAAATGATGGTGATGGCAGATGGTAGTTGTTGATCTGGTTTTGCTTTTTCTTTAAAATTCCTTACTTGGTGAAATAAAAAGTCAGTGACCTGTATGTTTCCCTCAATAGGTTTTTGTTTGTTTGTTGTTGTTATTTGTTTGTTTTTGAGACAGAGTCCCACTGTGTTGCCCAGGCTGGAGTGCAGTGGTGCAATCTTGGCTCACTGTGCCCTCTACCTCCCAGGTTCAAGCGATTCTCCTGCCTTAGCCTCCTGAATAGCTGGGATTACAGGCGCCCGCCACCATGCCCAGCTAATTTTTATATTTTCAGTGGAGACGAGGTTTCACTATGTTGGCCAGGCTAGTCTTGAACTCCTGACTTCAGGTGATCTGCCCACCTCAGTCTCCCAAAGTGTTGGGATTACAGGCGTGAGCCACCATGCCTGGCCCCTTCAAAGGGTTTTTAATATTATATTGGCCCATGAAATTCAAAGACCCAGAAGCCCCTATCTATTTCCTCATTTAGAGAAGAGGAGTGAGGCTGGGCATGGTGGCTCATACCTGCAATCCCAGCACTTTGGGAGGCTGAGGTGGGTGGATCACCTGAAGTCAGGAGTTAGAGACCAGCTGGCCAACATGGCGAAAACCCATCTCTACTAAAAATACAAAAATTCGCCAGGTACAGCAGCAGCAGCCTGTAATCCCAGCTACTCGGGAGGCTGAGGCAGGATAATCACTTGAACGTGGGGAGATGGAGGTTGCAGGGAACCAAGGTGGAGCCACTGCACTCCAGCCTGGGCTACAGATTGAGATTCCATCTAAAAAAAAAAAAAAAAAAAAAAAGAGGTGTGGGAGCTCCCAAGAGGGGCAGGGCAAGACCTGGTTTCATCCCCAGTGAGGTGGGGCTCACGTCCCCTTGTCCTGCCTTCACTGTTCTGTCGGCCTCCACATCCCAGAGGCCCATCGAAACCACTTCCCTGGTCACCTCGTTGTCACACTGATGGGGGGCAGGGCTTCCCAGATCTTGGATTGCATCTTGTTTGTGTCCAGCGTCTAGGAGTGGCCAGAACATTGTCAGTGTCCTATAAAGGCTGGTTGAATAAAAATGATGAATAAAATGTAAAATACTACACCAGTGAGGGATGGGGAATCTTATGTATATATTATTTATTTTTTATATCTATGCCTATGTGATATAGATATGAAAGTTCTAAGTTAATGGTGGGATTTCGAGTGGGCAGGGCAGTATAATGCCTGACACACTGGCACATAGTAGATGCTCAATAAACATAAAATGAATAAATGAGTAACAAATGATGAGTAAAGTCAAAATTATCACCTTGTTAGGGGTGAATGGGTAGCATTTTTATTTTTATAGGCCCTAAAGCTTAAAGTAAGAGAATATTTCTCCATAAGTCCTGCAGGGATTTTGTAGCAGGACCTCAGAGTCTATAGCACTCCTGGACTTATTTCTCACAGATAGTCCCCTCTTAGTCTATAAACCAGAGGGCCCCAGGCTGGCCCCTTTAGGAAGTGAGCTCTGTGATCCCTGCCCTTTGGCCTGGGCATCAGTGGCCCAGAATTTGGCACTTCAGCTGGGAGAGGGAGAGTTGGCCTCTGCCAAGAGCACGGGCTGCCGCTGACATCTTCTTTAAACACTGAGAGGGTGCTGGGGGTAGCGCCTCACCCT